TTTTACCTGATGTAATCACTGTGTGGTGCATCAATTGTTGTGTGTGTGTCTTCAATAAATAAAATTTCTTGAAACTAGATATATTATTATTTAAAATTGTGTACCGAACTTACTAAAATCCCAAAAATGTTTGCACATGATTTTTCTTACTTTGTAACCCTAACTCCAGTGTCCAACAGTAACCAATTGCATGTCACAAACTCTTTCTTCAGCAATCAACTTCATACAGAAATTGTTATTTTTATTTCCAGGAAAGAAAAATTCATTTGCATGGTTCTTCTTTAAAACTATAAAAAATTAATAATAAAAGCTTTAATTGTCTTTCTTTTAAACCAATTAATATTTGTTTTATTTGCAGACTCTTCATAAATCATAAAGCTAGCTTGTAGAAGGAAAAATGATCTTGAACCAATGAACATTTCTTTAGCAAATGATTGAACGCAATTTTAGCAAGGCAATTTTGTTTCTGTAACAAGCCCCCAAAAACATTCTTAAAGTAATTTTCGAGTTGTAGTTCAATTATATTATAGACAGTTTTCATAAAGAGGATTCAAGAGTAAGTTTCAGCCACATAATTTTAATTTGTATCCACCCAAAACTATTTTGTTACATTGTGGTACTTTCAGTTGCTTTAATAAAGGAAAAATTGATTTATGAAGAAATAAAGACTACGTCGTTAAGTTGGTAATTACTGATGCCTAAAAATTTTCGTTTAATGAGAGAGAAATTAATTTTAAATTTAAGGAAAAGATAAAAAAGTTAATTCTACTATTCTGAATAGTGTGCATGATTTTGAAGGAATAACAACACTGTTGTGTTCACTTCTATAGTCAACAACCCAAAACACTGAGAGAAAACTCCAAAACAAATACGTCCAGGTACTAAAACAATTACTATTTTACTTTATAATTAATAAGAGAAAATTTTAAAAAAAGTTTAATAAGATCCTACCTTTTTTTATAGATCGAATATGCAGTCGAAAATATTCCTAGAGTAGTGGCATGTAAGGATTTCTCTTCTATAAGGAAATTGTTTACAATACTGAATATTGTTTATAATCAGCAATCACATTAAATCATAATTATTTCACAAAATAACTACCACTCGAATGTTTTTCTGGATATTACAGATGATTTTTGTTATTAAGTGGTCAATAAACCCAACATATTTTAATCCTTAATGAAACAAAATCCTACGAAAAAAGTTAAACCAATTACTATTAAATCGATAAAATAAACGGGCTGTTACAATGCTGATACAAACCCAACAAAGAGAAATATGTCACATACATTACAAAAGAAACGTAACTTGCTAATACTAAAAGAGAATTACATATTATTAGTAAAGTAAAATAAAAAATAATTGATTAAAATCCCTCAAAAAACGTTATTTAATTACAAAATTTACTTAGGTTAAAATATCAAATTTGACAACATGCACTACAAATATTATCCATAGATAATCAAAATAACCACGAAGTAGTGTCTCTGTAACGAACAACCGGTGACATGACAAAGTTTTGATTGTATAG